GGAGGGCGGCGTGCTGCAGGAGCCGGGGTAGTGCCTGGAGCAGGCTCCCGCTGGGGCTCCACATGCCTCGGCCGGCACGGGCCCTCAGCCGGCCAGCCCCTCCGCCGCGGCGCCTATCAGGCAGCGGCCCTTCATGGCTCCCCGTACGCCCTGCCTGGACTCCCTGCGTCTGCTCGGGGGGCAGGAAAGGGCCCGGGGTAAGGGCAAGGTCTCAGCGGCGGAGGGACGGGTCCGACGGAGAGTGAGAAAACTCTGGACCCAGCACCGGCCGGGCCCGCCCCTTTTCGGCCAGAGGGGGCGGGGGCCTCGGCGTGGGGGCGGGGCCAGAATGCCGCTCGCGCTAGGCCCCGCCCCCCTGACGCACAGTCGGGCCAGCTGCAGGGATGGTGAGGAGGGGTTGCGGCGGCGGCCGCGGGGCTGGCCGGGGCTGGGGCTGCTGAGGGGAGTTGGTGGGAGGAGAGAAGGAGCCGAGGGGACGTGGGCACCAGAGAGAGAAGGAAGTGGCAGTGAAGTAGAGTGCGGTGACGGGCTGGGGACCCGGCGCGCTCCCTGTCTCCCCTGGCGGGCGCGCGCGTGCCTGCGTGTCAGGGCACGCGCTCTTCTCCCCCGGACCGAGTCCCAGTCCGCAAGCTGCTTGGATCTTTGCCCATTGGTTGTTTCTGCAGTAACCTCTGATTCGAGCGAGCAGCTTTTGGGACGCTCACATCCACAGCTCCTTGCGCGACACTGGAGGAAGAAGAGTTCTTGATTTGCTCTGAGGAGAATTTGCGAATTGTTTACCTCCTCAGTCCCCATGTGGGTATCACGGATCCTTCAGGAGATGGAGTAATTAGATAGAAAGGCCCACCCTTGACAGAATACCCCTTCTAACCCCAGAGGTCCTTTACCAAGTGCCAGACACTTGGACTAGGGACTTCTCAAAAAGATTCACGAAAAGACATTTCTTAAGGATTCCCATTATCAAACGACTCCTCAAATTTTTTTGCTGTTTTTTTTTCCGCTTTTCGCCTTTTTAACTTTAATGTTCCCCGGGTCCTCTTTCCTTCTTCCTTTTTTAGAATTGGTTGAGCCATCTCATCCACGCCCATAACTTAGATCCCAACGTGTTTCCCTTGTTCTGATGACCCCCAATCCCGTCTTTCCCTTGTGATTCAGCCTGTGGACACATGGGAGTGCAGTTCCTGTAGGCGCCTTAAACTTAGCATGGCTTGGTAATAGCAACTTGGGCTCCAATGCAAAACATTTTATTAAGTGTGGAAGTGGTCATTAACTTCTGAATCTCAGGGTTTGCTTTTAAATAGCAAAATGAAGATAATAGTACAACTTAATGACATAAAGTGAGGATTAATAAAATACAGCTGACCCTTGATCAACAGTGGTTTGAACTGTGTGAGTCCACTTACACTCAGATTTTTTCAGTATACTACAGTTCTATAAATGTATTTTCTCTTATGATGTACTTAATAACTTTTCTATAATTTATTTTATTATAAGAATATACTACATAATACATATACGAAATGTATTAACCAACTCTTCATTGGTAAGGCTTCCAGTCAACAGTAGGCTATTAATTTTGGGGGGAGCCAAAAGTTATATAGGGATTTTTGACTGTGTAGGTACCAGATCCCCACATTTTTCAAGGGTCAGCTGTAATAAAGTAAGATGCTTGGCCCTATGCCTGGAATCAGTGTTCAACTATGTGAAGGTATCCATAATTAAAAGTATCATCTCCACAAGACCTGCTATTCCTTTTGAGTTACTTATTTCACTGGATGACCTTCTACCACTTGCCTGCCGGTTAACTGACCAGGACACTTTGGGTCCTTACTGATCAGGTTCCTGCTTCTTCATGCCATTCCTCTCAATCCATCTTGGTTTGGCTGAGTCAGGAAAAATACCTCAGTGATGTCACACATGCTTCTTTCTTCACCTTTTCCAACTGTGTGACTCACGTGGAGGAGCAGCTCCTAATGCCTCCTCGCATTTAGCCGGTTTTACTTCCTCTCTAGAAGCTTCCAAAACTACCTTCCCATCAGCACCACACTCAATTTGATGTTTCCTTTCCATTTCTCCACTGTTTGCTACATAATTATTATCACATTTGTCCACTGTGTCCAAATTTTTAGTCTACATCACTGTCTCTGTCTTTAGACTGAATTTCTTCAAGATGGGCTCATTACTTAAGCACTAAGAAGGAGTAAGCACTTTATAAATGTTTGAGGAATGAATAAATTATCACAGTTTATAGGAAAAGATATTAAGGCAGACAAACCAGACAGGGCCAACACAATTGTCTGGGCAAGAATCCACGAAGGGCTGAAGTAGGGTAATGGTCATGGAGTTAGTAGGATGAGAATAAATTAGAGGGGAACATCTATAGGTTTGGAAACTAAATGAATGTTGGAAGAGAGGGAGGAGTCAAATATCTGGGTTTCTTATTTGATATAGTGGCTCAATTATGGGTCCACTAACCAAGAGAAAAAACACAAAGTTTCTGGGAAAGATAAAGGATTAGGTCTTGGTACTTGAGATTTGAAATACCTATGATTTAATCCAGTTGTGGCATTCCAGTAGGTAGTTGAAAATATGGATAAAGAGTGACAATGGGGCATTTCTTAGAAATTTTGAGATTTGTGTATAGGCAGCAGTTAAAGCCATGGTTATGGATGAGTGAATGGTGGTGAGTATATCAAATATTTTCTGTTCTCTTTCAGGTACAAGCAGGATTGCATTTCCTGACTTCCTTGTAGTTGGGATGAGTCACATGACACATTCTGCCATGAATTGTGAGCATAGCATTTAATTGCTGATGCAAGACCTTCCAGAACTCTTTTTGCTCTTTGCCATGGCAATCAACAATGTTCCAGAGAGTATATGCTCTGTAAGTCTTGGCTGCCAGCCAGTCAGTCGTCATGCTACTTGTATGTCAGGCACCCATCCTGACCCAAACAGTGCCACCCCTACACAAAACACCTCCCAGCTCTCCTGAACCTGGGAGCTCTGGTCAGGGCAATGCAGACTATAACATCATGTTTCCATCCTTGCCTGCTACGATTTATTTTTCACAGAATTGCTGAAGCTATGTTTTACAAATGGAAATTAGATATGTCTTAACTTACAAACACTCCAACCTGCCACCTCCACCTAAAACCTTTCTTTTGCATTAGCAAAAACACCCCAACTCCTTGCTAAGTCTACAAAGCCCTTTATGATCTAACTTCTGCCAACCAGTCCTGCCTCATCTCCTGCCACCCTCCCTCCAGCCACACCGGCCTCCTGTCTCTGCCTTGGATAGGCCAAACTGATTTCTACCTCAGCATGTCTGCACTCTGCCCTTGCTAATCTCTCTTGTTTGAATACTCTTCCCCTAGCTTTTAGAAAATTTATTATCCCTTCCTTCCTTTTTATTTAAAGTTTTACTGTCATCTCAGAGTCTACATTAGAGTAATGGTACTCCTTTTTTTCATTTGTATCTATGATCTGAAATGTGTATAGTTATTGCTTTACTGTCTTCCCTAAGAAGTCTTGGGATCCTCTGTAGTCCCTAGAATAGTTCCTGGCACATTAAATATTTTTAAGTGAATAAAGGGGGGTGGTAGGTAGTGTGCTTGTGACTGGCTGTTTCCTGCTAGTCCTCCATCTGGGTTCATTCTCTGCTTTTCCCTGCCTTGCTGTGTGTCTCAGGAGGCTGAGCTCTAGAGTTTGCATTACCCAGCCTCCTCCATGCTCTGGCTTTCCAGTTAGGTTTGACCAATGAAAGGCAGCAGAAGAAGATGGAAGATAGTAAGAGTAAGAAGTGGTCAGGGTATTTACCTCTGCCTAACCCAGCTTCACTGTGTTTTTGGCAGTAACTGAATTCTTCCATGATCAAAGTTCCTTTATCAAGTTTCCAGCTCCATCCTGGCTCTGGTAATGGCTTCCTGATGCTACACCATCCTTGTAATACTCCCTTGATTAGACTCTCTCTACTATGGTTTCTGTTGCCTACTGGGACCCTGACTGATAGCTGAAAAGGATAAAGGCTGATTAGTTCAGTACTACTAACACCCGAGTTCACACAGCTTACCCAAGGCTACACAGAGAAAGTGATGGAACCAGGTTTTAAAATCAAAGTTCAGGTGTTATGAAAGATCAGGAGAAATTATTATCCAAGGAAGAGAGAATATTAAGAAGGAAGGAAAGGATAGCAGTGCCCAATGTTGCAAAGGGTTCAAGGTGAAAGAAGGACCAGTAAGTGTCCTTTAGATAATCTGTTTTAAAAGTAGCCACTACGGGGGCACCTGGGTGGCTCAGTCAGTTATGCATCTGACTCTTGGTTTCGGCTCAGGACATGATCTCAGGGTCTTGGGATCGAGTCTCGCTTCCGGCTCCCCACTCAGTGTGGAGTCTGCTTGTCCCTCTCTCTCTCTCTCTTTCTCCCTTCTCTCTCTCTCTCTCTCTCTCTCTCTCTCGGCTCCATCTCCCCCCACACATTGAGATTGTTTCCCTCTGCCCCTTTCCCCCCCACCCCCCACCGCCTGTCTCTCAAATAAATAAAATCTTAAAAAAAAAAAAGTAGCCACTACGGCATTAGGGAAAGTACTTTCAATGAAAGGCAAATTGTAGAGGTTTGAGAGTAAATGAAAGGTGAGTATAGCAGAGTTTGAATGGCTCTTTTGATGATCCTGAACAGAAAGAAAGGAAGAAAAGGGTGACAGCTAGGAGGTAATGCCAGGTGAGGAAGATGAGGAGATTGTGTGATGTTCCAGCGTGTTCATAAATTGAGATAAGGAAGCCTGGGGAGAGAAAAGGATTGAGAAACAGAAAGGAGAAAAGAAGTGATGAAGCCAGGTTCCCAATGAGGTGAGGAGGGTGGGATTAAGATCTGGGGAAAGGATTAGCTGCCGGGAGGCAATGCTTTCTCTGAGGTTTAAAGAAATGACTAGGAATGAATGCAAATTTGCCAGTGCTGATTTCTAATTGTAATGGAGTCTGTCGTTGGGGGTTTATTTGGAGAATGCAGATAGTTTTTCTCTCCCCTTTGATAGCCTAGGACATGATTTACATGAATTTCCCTGATCACAAATAATTTCCCTGATTTTTCTTCTCAGCTCTTTAGGTGTCAGTCATACACTGGGTACATTTTTCCAGCCTCTTTGTTTTAGACTTGCCACTGTGCTTGTCATTTGAATTCCTTACTTTGTTAGTATCTGTGAGGAGAGGGAAGGAGGTAGAAGAGGGAATCCAATCAAGCATTATTAATTACATTTAAAAGCAAAATGGTAAGATGCTATTAAAAACTAATTCAATGGTAAATTACTCTGCAAACTCTAAATTATTTTATAATTATGGATTTCACAATATTTCACAATATTACCTTCACTTAAATTTAAGGACATCCATAATGATAAGTACATTTTGATATGTGGGTATTGAAATTAATAGTTAAAATTAATTTGCTGAGATTTATTATTCATGCAAATTGTTTCTCATGCACAATTATGAGTCTTTGCATGAGTGTAATGTTTCTACCTTTCTCTGCCTCATATTTACATCTTTGACTGGTAGGTTTTGGGGGAGATTTTAGGGTTCTAAGATCAAAATTAGAATCTGGTTAATTTTGTAATAGAGTTTCAGCAGGCTTGAATTCACTTCATGAAACTCTGTGTCAAATGAACACACATGCCAGGCCTCCTTCAGTGAGGACTCCTACAGCCAAAGGAAATGAAAGTGTAAGCAGTGCATCAAATATTGGAAACAGAATAGTGCTCTTCTTCAAGAAGCTCTCCAGCTAGCAAGGCAAATACTTTGAACACTACTTTTGGAGCACTTCACAGAAGACAAGTGCCTTATTTTTTTCAGATTTGCTTGAGATATATAATTTAAATGAGTGTCTGGACCCTGTATGAAGTTGTTATATCAGTGTTAACAACTAATTTTTTCTAATGCTGCATATTTAACTTATTTGTTCAACAGAAGCATAGTGGGGATATATACTTTGCTAGCTGCCTTGAGACTATAAAGAGGAAGGAAATTCATTTCCTGCCTTCAGAAAGTATGGTCTAATTGTGAAGAAGGGAACATTAACTCAATTACAAAGCATGCGTAATGGGTGCATCAGAGTGGTATCAAGGGGTTTGGGATGGCAAGGGCAAGGTAGATGATTCCTGATGGCTGGCCATTTCCCACAAATGTTCTTCATTCTGTTCCTGGGTTTCCTTAATTCCAGGAGCTAATTGTGAATATAACCAGTCTTCTTCTATAACTCCCTCTGTCCGTCATTATAGTTGTGATGGGAAATGCTATAATTTCCTCCAGCCTTGATCTGCCATCATTTTGCTCACGCGCCTGTCCATCCTTTACCAAGTACACATTTTCCTGAAGAGTATATCTCCAGCCTCCCTCTCCTCTTACAATGCTCTTCAGTACATATTTGACCCAGAAGGAGTGAGTCTTGAAGGTGGCAGGTAAAAATTAGCAGAAAAGGGGGAAGCACCCACTCATATCAGCTAAGTAATTGTTAAGCTAATTACCACTCACAGTACGAAAATTACAGGCTGATGCTACAGTTATAACTTCCAGTCCAGAACAATCAGAAGATTTGGTGTTTCTAATTTCAAGTATTTTCAATTCTGTGAAAACAGTATATCAAGGTTCAGTTAGAAAACTGTTGTTATTCACAATAGTGGGGGAAAATGCCAAGCCTTGCAGTTATTATAATTCTGTTACTGTACAAGTAGATGTACACACAAAGTATTGCTCAGTCTAGCCACCACATTAATAAACACTAGGATATTAAGGAGACAAATGAGTATAAAATATTATGTTTAAAGTTTTGTTTAGAAAGTAAGGAAAAGGAAAATTCAGAATATCTGACTGCCAATGAGCCTTATTTCCCAGTATAGAAAATAGGATCAGAGACTGATATTGATTATATCTGTAGACTGAATCTATTATTTTTAGGCACAAAGACACAGAATTTTATGATTTCTAACATTTATTAAATACTTGTGGCTTTTTAACTGTTCTCATAAGTAAAGATTATAAAGAAAATATGATCAGAGAATATTTTTTGAATTTGGATTTGTATCAAGATCATTTGTTTCATCTATTAAATATGAGTTCAGGAGGAAGGGCATACTCTGCTGATCTCCAGGCATAAAGTGACCCATCTGGCTGAATCTGGCTGATTTTCTTTTGCCTCATCTCTTCATGTCATTCTCTCTCAAATCTATCCTCCCATTTGAAGAGGAAGAAGAGAGCAATCTCCCTTGGAAGAGGAGGATTCATCTTCAGCTAAAAGAAAGGAATTAAAAAAAAAGGAGTAGCCAGTAGCCAGGCTTGCTTGTTAAACCACCAAATAAGGTCTTATTCAGTAATTACTTATTGGGAACATCTATGATTCCAGCATTTTAAAGGGCACACTGAGGGTGAGACTCTGCCCTTACAGGTCCATCTTGTGGTGAGAGGCATAAGCAACTGTAGCGTGGAGTGTTAGGTCCAAGGGCGGCCCAGAGGAAGGAGTGACTAAATCTGGGTATCAGAGAAAGTTTTGCAGCAAAGGTGATATTTGAGCTGGATGTTGAAGGATGAGTATACACTTATTTATATCCTGCTTATTCCAAAAGGATTTTAAGGGGCTTTGTAGGAGTTGACCAGATCATGGAGGAGTAGAATAGCATTTCAGACACAGGAAGTGCCAAAGCACAGAAGTGGGAAAGGGCACGATATGCTTGAGAAGTCGTGGGAAGATCTGAGGACAGATGATGCACGGAGTACACGTGTGAGCCTGGGGGAAGGGAGACAGCATAACCACTGTGTCAGTCTCTTGCAGTGGTTTGCAAACTTGAGTATGCATCTGAATCCCTGGAGGCTTTTAAAAGCACAGATCCCTGGACCCCATCCCCAGAGAGTTTGAGTCTGCAGATTTGGGGTGAGAGGGCAAGGAATTTACATTTTTTTTTTACAGATTTCCTAGTGATGTTGATGCAGCTGGTCCTGGGACCGCACTTTCAGAACCACTTCTTTAGAGTTTGGATTTTATCCTATAGTCAATTGAGAGTACCTGAAATTTGTGTAGCTTAAGAAAGAAAGAAACAGATTTGGATTTAGAAAGTTTACTGGCAGCTGTGAGGAGAATGAGTGAGGGAAACCAGTTGGTAGATTATTTCACATGTCCAAGAGACAAAGTAAATGAGCCTCAACCCATTTATGGAAAGATGAAATACACTTGAGAACATCCAGAGGCATAATCAAGATTACTTGGAATGATTGAATATGGGGAATGAGAAAACGGAAGGAATCTCAGAATGTTAAGATTATGTTCCATAATGTAACCGAAATACTATAAAATTTATGTATTCAAAGAATCTCATGTTACCAAAATCTTTAAAATGAGGTCTAACAAATCATACAAAATTTCAGATGACTTTTTTGCCAGTGTCATGTGTCATTTTTCATAGCTAAAGAGAGAGAGAAGTCTTGGTCACAGTCATTCGGCAGTCACTCCTCAAAATGTGTGACATGAAGTCCACTCAGGTATGGTCAGGCCTTCCTAAGGCAGCATCATCTAGGGGTGCTGTTTACCCACTGTGTCCACTCAGAACATCAGAACTTTGGCTACAAGGATCAGTTATGGTCTTTCCAGCCTCAATATACTCTTAATAACTATAGGAGGGTCCCCCCATACATAGGACTTTGTAGATACAACATGAGGAATGAATTGCAGCTGGCTGAAAACATAAAATAGAGAAGTATAGATGAGTAACTTGATCCTCAATTGAACCCATAATAACATTCAGCGAAGTTTTGATTTTAGCTTCAAGTTTCTCTTTGCAACTGAGTCCTTAGCCAAGTGTGCCTAAGGAACCATCTCTGTTCTGTTCTCTCTTTGTTGTTGTTCTTAAGGTGCCAGGTTCTGCTGACCCTTTTCTTGTGGTTTGTGCTGTTCTTTCCTCTTACAAGGCTGTTGAAATGGTCAGTTCCTTATACAAACCCTTTTTTATCTTTTTGCAGTTTCCGAATGTTTCCATCACTGTAATCTCTGCCAATGGCATTTCTAAGGAGGTTGCTTTGTTCAGTTCTCATTGCCAAATACTTATAACCCATTAGCTTCTCTTTGTTTTTTGCAGCCCATTACCCCAATATGTCTTTTGCATTGGACTCCAGCCTCTGTGTTCTACCCCTTGCTAGTATTGAGATAGGAATGGAGTGAGGGAGGAAAGTATGGAGTAGAGTGGGAGTAAGGTGTCCTATTTTGCTCCTTTTGAACTAGAAGAATAACTTTCAGATGGGGTGTAAACTGAAAACAAATCTCTCCCTTGGACAGAAATGTTACCCTTTCTTTAACAACATTAAACATAATCTTTGGCTATAGCCTTTCAGGAACTTTTCTGATTGACTATTTTATGCTCACAAATCATGTGGGGAAACAAAAAAAGCTTTATAGTCATTGTTGAGATTAGAGGGGTTCATATGTTACTCCTTCTTCTCACCTCCTAAATTCTGAACTGAGAGAGACACATGAGTCAGGAAAAGGAAGACCAAAACTTTAACTCTATTACTGATAGGGTTGATGGGGAATCTGTCTTAGAGTGAAAGCCAAGTAATGACAAACTACTGCCAGTCTAGTCCTCGGACAGCCCACTAGAGGGAAAGTTGTAATCTGTATCGAGGACACATTAACCTAAGCTATCAGCTGTCACCCTCCTCCCAGGTAATTCCTCCCACCACCACGTGGAAGAGCAAAGGGATGGAGGGCAAAAAGTCCAGATAAACACTCTTTCGTGGAAACCAGGGGATGAATTACTCAAGACAGATATATTTTCTAATAAAGTTTTAGTGGTAGTTCTAGGAAAATACTAATGACTAACCACACAGTGTGTAACAACTGACTTCTGGACAGTGTCAAAATCATCTCTTCTTTTAAGATAATTAATGTCAAAGATATTAGGAATTTTAAAAAATCAGGAAAGTTAATGTTTATTTTCCAATCTACAAATGAAGATGACAAATGGTGTAATTAGATGCATAACTTGTAATAATTCCACCAATGATCTGTTTAATTTAAAAATAGATGATTTGGAGAGTTAAAGTTTTGTTTTTGTTTTTTTAAGTTGTCACATGCTGCTAGTTATTGCCACTCCATTTCTCCACCTTCCACCAGTGCTAAAAGTTCTATCTGGGTATGTGACCACCCCACTACAGAAACTATTGCCCAGTCTCCCTTGCAGATAGAAGTAGCCAAGTAACTAAGTTCTCAGCAATAGAATGGCAGAGTAGAACTGATGCGTGCAACTCCAGTCTCATCTGCTTAAAGGAAATGCCTTGCTCTCCACTTTCTTTCCCCTTCCTGGGTTAAGATACTGAGATAACAGAGATCAGTGGCATCAGGGACTCTTAATGACCTAATCTACCAGAGCCTTTCTACCAGCCTAGACTGGCCAGACTGTAAGATGAGAGAGAAATAAACTTCTGCCTTTTTTAGGCCACTCTGTTTTTTTGAGTCTCTTTTTAATGTCAGGTTAACATTTGTACCAACTAGTACAAATATTTATGCCTATTTCTGGAACTGTTAAACTATTCAGTAGGAAGAAATCTGCACAATTAGCTATTGTAGTGGGTTGAATAGAGACCCCCAAAAGGTAGGTCTATCCAGAACCTGTGAATGTGGGCTTGTTTGGAGAAAAGGATGTTTGAAGATGTAATGGACAGCACATGTCCTTATAAGAGACAGAGAGGAAAATACAGAGAGGAGAGGGAGGCAATATGAAGAGAGGGAGGGATTCAAGGGATGCATCTGTAAGCCAGAGAACTCCTAGAGCTGCCAGAAGCTGGAAAAGGCAAGGAAGGATTCTCCCCTTTCACAGGGATGACCCAGTCTACACCCGTGAAGGAATAAATTTATCTTGTTTTTAAGCCACCCAGTTTGTGGTGGTTTGTTGCAGCAGCCCTAGGAAACTAACACAGCTATCTAATAAAATTTGATAAATGACGATGAAGAATGACATAGAGAAATTAAAAAATCATTTCTTGTTTTGTTATGAAATACTGAAAGGAGCATAGAGCTCTAATATGAAAGTGGTTCGTTCACTAATTTGTAAGACACCTTGGGGCACCTGGGTGGCTCACTTGGTTAAGCATCCAGCTCTTGATCTCAGCTCAGGTCTTGATCTCAGGGTCCTGAGTTCTTGCCCCATGTTGCTCCACACTGGGCATGGAGCCTACTTAAAAAAAAAAAATTAGGGGCACCTGGGTGGCTCAGTCCAGTAAGCATCTGCCTTTGGCTAGGGTCATGATCCCAGAGTCCCAGGATTGAGGCCCAAATTGGGCTCCCCACTCAGCGGGGAGTCTGCTTCTCCTTCTGCCCCTCTCCCCGCTCATGCTCTCTCTCCCACTCTGTCTCTCTCTCTCAAATAAATAAAATCTTAAAAAAAAAAAGACACCTGGCTGATTGCCTGAGGCATATCAGCCACTGACAGGTGCAGTGTATATAAAAATAAGAGAGACATGGTCCCAACTTTCAAGAGGCTCATAGTCTTCTTGGAAAGGACATAATGAACATGGACAACACTGTTTGATTCATTTAAAAAAAAGCTAAAAGGAAAAAAACTTTATGTCACAATTTTAGACTACAATTGGCAATGAGAACACCTCCCATAGAATTGTTGGACAAATAAGTTTGACCATCTAAGAAAATCAGATATTCAATTTGTTGTACAGCGATCATTCTATCTGGGAAATATGACAAAAACTGTAATAAAAATGGTTCTCTGTATTTCTAAAGCTATCACTTTATAAAAGTTAAGATTATGGACCTGGGCTCCTGTTTTTGTATCTTTATTACAAGTAAGTTGATGAAATAACACAACCTTCTAACCAGTGAACATCTCCAATTTAGAATGTTTTTAAAAAATCTATTTATTTATTTATTTATTTAGTAGGCTCCACACCCAGCACGGAGCCCAACATGGGGCCCAAACTCGACCCTGAGATTGAGACCTGAGCCAGGATCAAGAGTCGGATGCTCAAATGACTGAGCCACCAAGGCGTCCCTAAAAACTTAATAAGGAAAATTCTTCTAGAGTAAAGAGAATTGTTCATAATTCCTCCTCACATCCCCAGTTTATGAAATACACTTTTTTGTGTTTGGCAACCCCATAAATCAGGGATTTATTTCAAAATTATGTCCAAAACAACAAAAATTGCTCTTATGATCACATAGAACGAATGCATTGAGTATTATTCCTTGGACTGCATTTAGACTTTGGTATGAGCAATGCAAAATTCTCCCCTACATAGATAAACTACTAAACAATATGGAATCTATTGTCCAAGTCACCTCTAAATTTTATTTTGGAACCAAAGATCCCTGCTAGATCCTTTTATTGGGAGGGACCTCTCCCCTTAATTACTCCCACTGTCTTCAACATGATATAGGTAATGTGAAAATCTGATTCTACACTTTCCTCTAGTATTTTAATGTTTCATATCATTCTTTTTATTTTGATTCACTTCTTATTTTTCACTCAATGCTGAAATTGTATGATACTTCCTTTTATACTAGGCAGTCTTATCTTGGACCCACAAAATGAAGATTTGCTGTATAGGAAACATGTACTGAAAATAAGTATGCATAAAAATACTGGAAGGAAATACACCAAAATGCTCTCCTTTGGGTGTTGGATTTGTGAAAGAGTTTTTGAAATCTCCTTAGTGCTTTCTATCCTAACCTTCTATAATAAATATTTAATTGATTTTGATATTTGTTTATTTGCAATTTAAGGTATCACCTTTATTCTACATATGGACATAGGTAGGAGGAGACTGCAGTGGGGTCTGTATCACTCCTGCTCAAGTGAACACATCTGGGCCCAAAGTTGTCTTCCAGGATCAGATGGAGAAGCTGGAGTATCCCTTCTGAGGAATTCCTACTAAGGAATCTCTACCTCAGCATGCTTGCAGGGCAAAAGTAGTGCTGAGCTCTTCTCACCAAGCCACAAGGCATGCAGGTAAAAAGAAACCAACCTTCTAAACATTTTACTCAATCCAAATTCATTTTAAGTAAGAAATATTTACAATGATATTGAGAAACTGTAGTCCCAAAGGAAAACAAAAACAAATGACATCACTGACATATTCAAGTTTATCTTAAGTTTTAAAAAGGGTAATGAAGTTACATTTTCATTTAAATACCTAGGTATTTACTATAATCTTAGAATGGTATTTACTACATTTACTATAGGTATTTACTAGGTATTTACTATAGGTATTTACTATAATCTTAGAATGCCATATGGTGGTTACGAATTTATTAGGTAGAGACTTGGAATGTATGTATATATTTGTAGATGCCTAGAATTTTCATGAATTGTCTTTTTTTGCCACTAAATTCTATATACAGCTTATCTCAGTAGTATTGGTTTTTGATAGTATATAATGTTTGATAAACCGATAGCTTTTGGGAGAGGGTAACATGAAACCCCCTTGTTCTATGAAATTAAAGTGGCCAGGAAGACTTTTTTATTTTAAACACCTACTCAGGTAAAGGGCAGACAACAAAATCAGTTTTGTGTTGATGTTGCTATTTCTTCACTCTGAATAAGATTTTTGTTGGACTCACAGCCATTTTGCTTCCTGGGGTGAATCTTCTTTCATATTGTTTTATCCAAGTTTTCATATGGATATTTTCAAATAAAATATATAAGTGGAAAAATATGAAACCAGTAATGTTGCTTTCCAAGTGTTCAGTGTCAACCTCAAAACACAAAAAAGAGAAAACCAAATGGGACAATGAATAAAGTTGTCTTCTTTTTTTTTTTAAGATTTTACTAATTTATTTGAGAGACAACATGAGCAGGGGGAGGGGCAGAGGGAGAGGGAGAAGCAGACTCCCCGCTGATACCAGCCTCCATCCCAGGACCCTGAGATCATGACCTGAACTGACGTCAGATGCTTAACTAACTGAGCCACCCAGGCGCCCCAAGTTGTCCTCTGTTTTTAAGACTTAAAACATTCACTTATAAAAACACTGATATTCTCAGACAAATGGAAAAATGTTCCCCCTGGTGAAACAGTACTTGCTATTATAGGATATATAGTTAAATCAAATGAGAAATAAGGGCAAGCATAGACAAATACTAAAGAAAAACTTCATTGTGCAAATGTTCTCAGAAATAAACTTGGAAAAACATACCTCCTGAGTATAAATATTTCAGTTGAGTTTATGGAAAGGTGTTATCTGTTGAAGTCAGCAGAAATCATGCCTTCATACAATTCTGGCTAGAATATGGTTTTTCAGTGATTGCTAAAGTCTCATAGAAAGGTCTATATAATTTCTTGTTTTAATTACTTGAAGCAGGAGTTCTTGTTTCCATGTTTAGCTTTTCTGCAAATTAATATTTTAAAATACCAATTTCCTAAAAATGAGGGCATGATCATTATTTCAGTTGTAAACAATCAGTTACACTCTTTCCTTTGCAGACCTGCCTTGCAAATATTATGTGAGCGTTTACATGTTAGCAGAACACCAGCTAGCCTCATGTCATGTTTTGGTAATGTCTGTACAGATATTTCATCTGTGGGAGATATTTCATCTGTCCGTCATGGATCAACCCACTAGTAAACCATGCTTATTTTAAGTCTTCTGTTTTTAGCCTAATGATTTATCTAACTGACTTTTGGGGTCTGTTAAAGAACAAAAATAATTTGGAATTGAAAACAATCCATATTGTCACAAATAGAGAAAATGTGTTATAAGGAATAGACTAAAGCAGTTTTAGCTCATCAGATTTGATGGAGGCCATCTGCTTTTGTTGCCTGCATCAGTCCCCTTCTTTAGCTTACTTATCTGCTGATTCTGCCATAGAGCCTCAGCTCTATGCAAGACCAGCCCTGATCATGCCTTAAAACAGTATGAATCAAGCTGGCATTTTTTTTTTCCAGAGTTGTTCAGCAAACATAAGAATATACCAGTCAGAACACAGAGGAGAAATACAGCCTGGAGATGTAAATTTAGAAGGCACCAGCATTTTAATGGTTAGGAAAGCCTTGGAAGTGGGTGCAATCATCTAGGAAAAGGGAGTAGAACAATCTTTATCAGTTGTCTAAAATCCTGAGTAAACACAGCACCTTCCCCTCATCCAAATTAAGTATCAATAGCCTCAATATCCACATTGTTCCAGCTTTGGTTTTTGTGGTTTATATTATAAAACTAGTATCTTTGCACAATTTTCAAATTACTATAAATTTAATATGTACTTCCAGGTTATACATGCAAAACCCCTGATGAATAAGGAGAGCAGCTAGATGAGCATAGTAACTCAACTAAGGGAATGGCCATGGCTCCTATCCACCTCCCAGCCTTGCTATAAACAGCAAATGAAACCATTTGGCTTGAGATCTTTGAGACTCGGTATACAAAAGTCAGAACTTACAGGATGCTCTTAAAGCAGCAGATAATATCTGTTTCTAAACATATGTGCAATGGGAAGTCTTGAGCATTTGCTTTTGGAAACTCTAGCATGGCATAGTATGGTGATTAGTAGTTCTGTTCATCACACAATTTTAACAATGTGGCTGCAGTGTGACTCACAGTAGACACAATTTTATTACCAGTATTCAAATCATTTATGTTTCTCTTAATGTTTGATAGCTCTCAAATTCCAAATCTGGCAAAGCAGATGAACAGGTGTGGGTCGTAGCATGGGTAGCCTTTGTTCAGTGTGGGCGGTCTTGGGTTCACTGTCAAGATTTTGTGGAACTCCATGGGCTGGTTTGTAAGTGTTTTATTACTCTCTATACCCTCTTGTTGGGGCCTTTACTGACACTAGTACCAGTAAAATGTACTATGCAAACAAAAATAGCATTTTTACTTTTAAATCAATTTTTAATGCTTACATTGTTTAGAAATTTGAGTCAGTTCAGGGTACTATTTAATGACGTTTTGCCAGAAAATATCAAGGAGGTCCCTGAAATTGCCTCAAATAATTATATCCTCCCCAATGCTTCTGAGAGGTATATTCTCATAAAGCAAAATTCAAGGGCAAAAATAACCATACAACAACAGTAAAAAGAATTTATTATTTGGGAATTTGGCTTGAAGCCACAGTACAAAGCTGTAGTAAACTGGTCTGTACACATGAAAGGTTTCTTTTTCTTGAGCTTGTTTGGCCTAAATAGCCTCAAGCTATAGCAGGCTCTTAGGATTGCTCTCTCTTACTTTTTAGCTTCAAAGGCAGCTGTTAAGACTCCAGTGAGCACTAATGGAAATGGAGAGAAAGCTAAAGAGGACCCTGTTAGCTCTCCTGTGTGTTGCTGAAGTAAACTTTTCCTTGTACCCCAAACTTAGGGAGAGGATAACCTTTCTGTGTCTCCCACACTACCCTGCCTTGTCCTACCAGCAAGCCAAATGGAAGAAACAGAGAGGCCTGCATAACCTATAGCCCCTTGGAAAGCTTTGACTCTTGAAAAAAGCAGATTAATCAGTATCCTCTGATCTTACTAATGCAATCAACCCTCCTCTCTCCTCAATCCCTAGAGTGGCATGAAGAATGTGAATATGGAATGGTATTCTATACCTAAGGAGCAACAAAACTATTTCAAGTAATTGAGTACATTTCTTTTAAAAAGGCAATGTGTTGTTGCCTTCTTGTTTTCTGTTAGATAGCTCTTTGATAAAAAGGGGCTCTTTTTGGATCCCCAAGTTCAGGAAAAATAAATCAGCCATCTTCTGATTCCTTGAGGACCAGTGTACACACACACACACACTCTTTACAATAAGTCTCTGGCATTAACCCAGAGCCCTAGTGAGCAAGGCTGAGTCATAGAGTTCTATAAGGACTCTTTTTGTCCCGTTGGCCTAAAGCCTAGATAAAAAGAAAGCAAAGAGGCCCCTTTGACTTCTCTGCCCTAGGCCTACACCCAAATTTTTGCTTTAAGAGTCTTGCTACTTTATTAATAGTAAGAAAGGAGGAAAAACAAGTTTAAAAAAAGGAGCACCAAAGGTATAAGTCTTTTTCTTTTATAACTAGAACTGATCTTATCTGAGTTACCAAGTCCTAGACCACTCAACATTGGGATGTGTGTGTGTTGGGGGGCATCTTAGTACAAAAATCATGTAAAAGGACACACTCTGTGAGACAAAGAGCAGTGAAATTGATATACCCACAGAACCCTGAAGATGCCAAAGTCAGAGCTATTTACTTACATGCAAATCTCTTTGAAGCCTTCAGCTAATGGCTGACTGGCTTTGCCTCTTCATTGTATCTTCCCTCAGCTTCCTCTCTTGAGATGCTCATCAAATTTTGTTATTCTTCAGCAGTCATCTTTTCTTCAATTGGAAGCTTCCCAAGGGCCAACACATGTTTGTCTTGCTCTGTAGCACTTAGTAGGCACTCAGTAGACTTTTTTCCCCATTGAATGACATTTAATTGTGCCTTTGACTGTAACATTTATTCAGAGCAGCATTGAGGAGGATATTTCAGGTGAGGGTTTCTTCACCTCCCCCAAAGCTTAGAGTGTGTAGCCAACCTTAACTCTATAAGTATTATCATTTGCATAATTGATGATGTTGGGAAAATTAAAGCTCATACAAATATAGTCTTTGTTCATTACTAACCCTTCAGACTGGGTTTTTTTTTTTTTTTT